GAGCATTCCCGCGGTATCCCGTGCGACGAGGCTAAATTGACACTTCCATTCGGCCGCAATGTAAATTGAGCCTTATTATAGTATTTAAATGATACAATGTCTAACTATGCAGCAGTAGTAGTTTGCTATATAATTTATTGCACATTTTTTATTTATTTTAAATTTTTCTACTTTTATGAATATCTGCAGTTTGGTTTAACCATTTTTAATCTCATTAACATGAAATATAACCAATTTTTCAGAGATAAATTAATCTCTACACTTTTCTAACAAATTAACTTCCCCTCAATAAAATCTTACACCTCATTTTTAAGTGGCGCCGCCCTGGTGGCTGAAAAGGGCGTGGTCATTGCCGCCTTGGCCATAGATAATATAGTACTTTATATGGCAGTTTAGGCTGACGCATAGGGGGCGCATATTTACAGATTAAAATTTTATTAAAATACTTATAAATTAGATGTCAAAGTGTATTTTTAGTGAAGTCACCTGTGAACATTTGAAGTCCGTATTTTTATTTCATACAGTGGTAATAATGTCCAAATTTAACGTGGAAGTGGCTTTTAATGAGTTGTCTAAGAAGATAGCAGAGTTAACAAAAATAATTACTGCGCAATCCGTGTTAATTGAGACGCAAAATAAGAAAATAGATGATCAAAAACAGCTGATCGAAAGTAATATATTTGTAATTAGTGAGCAGAAGCGGGTAATTGAAAAATTGTTAGCTAAAATCGACGAACGGTTGGGCAGCGCTGAGAAAAGTTGCGATGCAGTTATCACTACCATGCCAATAACTCAAAGTGTGAAAGAGCTAGCAACATGTACGGAAAGCCCAGCGTTATCGGATCGTGAACGTCGAGCAACGGAACGTTCTCGGGCTAAGGGTACGACTACATTGCAGAAACCGGAGCGTTTAAATACATCTACTAACTGTTTTAAAACAAATACAGATATCAATCAAACCTTAAATGAAGATTCAACCGATTGGAAAACCGTCGTTAATAAAAAGAAAGTAAGAAAAACTCAGCCTAAATTATTTCAAAAAGGAGGAAACACGCTCATTTCGTCGTTTCAAGCGGTTGAGAAAAAGAAATTTTTGCACGTTTGGTCACTTCACCCAGACACTTCTGAAGAAGCTATAGCTCAACATGTGCAGAGCATCTGTAGTTCAAAGGATATAAAAGTTGAAAAAATTATCCCTAAAACTAAAAGAGATTACGCGTCTTTTATGATAGGAGTTCCCGAATCGCAATTTGAGAAAGTCAATTGTACTGATTGCTGGCCAATAAACACTCAGTACAATGAATGGGTGTGGTTTCGAAACACCCAAAAAACAACAGCAAGTCGGTAATAACAAGACTAAACCTGTTCTGCTATATTATCAGAATGTACGGGGACTGAGAACAAAAACAGCAGATTTTTATACCAGTCTTTTGGATTCTTCGTGCGATATGTTTGCTATTACAGAGACAGGTCTCAATAGTTCAATACATAACGGTGAACTTTTTCCACCAAACTACAAAATACTGCGATGTGATCGAGCAGATGGACGCAAGCAAGGAGGCGTCCTCTTAGCTGCATCTTCCAGACTGGATTTGAAACGCGTTTCTGTAGCTAATGTGGACGCGGCTTTGTTTGAGATTGTTTGTGCAACGGTGCATCGTAGCGAAAAATTTTTATTCTTTTGTTGTGTCGTTTATATACCGCCAAAATGTGATGTTAACGAATATATGTATTTATTTCATTTGATAGAAATGGAGTGTACTAAATATGACAAAGTATTAGTGATCGGAGATTTTAACATGCCTTCTTCGACATTAGAAATACAAAACTATTTTGGGTATGTTACAGCATATTGTGGATTTCGTCAGGTAAATGAAGTGCTTAATATAAACAATCGCATTTTAGATTTGGTATTAACAACTTTGCTAGTAAGTGACGTGGAGGTATCACTATCTGGTGACTCTTTAGTTAATATTGACGAGCAGCACCCACCTCTGACCATAAAAATCACGGCAGTGGACGCGAGGAGTGGGCGATCCTCTTTCAGTATGACTGATCATAAACAGAATAATAATAATATATTAATTGAAAGCTCTAGTTGGAATTTTAGGAAATGTGACTTCTTCGAATTATATCATTTATTAAATTCAATTGACTGGAGTTCGTTATATCTGTTAGAGGATGCTAAATCCTCCTTGTCTTATTTCTACGATAATGTAAAAAATGAGATTAGTAAATGTGTGCCTTGGAAGAAACGTAAATTAAGTAATTATAATGCGAAGTATACTTACCCTGATTGGTATACAACTGATTTAATATTAGATATAAGGCTCAAATGGAAATATCATAAATTATTTAAAATAACAGGATCTCGAACGGATTATGAATCATTTTCACGGTATCGTGCAGTAGTTAAAAATAAAATAAGGTGTGCTTACGAGGCATATCAGTGTAGGGTACAAAATAATATAAAAGAGGATCCAAAAGCTTTTTGGAATTTCGTTAGGAGTAAACAGTCAAAACGTAATAGAACTCAAATTACGAAAGACGGGCAAGTGATTAGGGATGCGGACTGTGCAGAGTATTTTGCTTCATATTTTCATTCAATATATAGTAAAGAGCGGCCCACGTTAGATCCGAGAGAAGCGGAGCGAGTAGCGGCGCAGGCGTTGAGCTCAACACGCGTTCATATCGGGCGGATAAATGTGCAAGATGTTCGAGAAGCGCTCACACGTCTTAAGCCCAAAAAGTCCGTGGGTCCAGATGGGATACCACCGTTCATTTTAAAAGATTGCTGTGCAGTGTTTGAATTGCCTCTTTTACATATTTTTAACCTGTGTCTAAAAGAAGGTTACTACCCGGACATATGGAAAGTGACTCGAGTGATTCCTGTGTTAAAGGGAGGGTCGGGTTCCAAGGTGGATGAATATCGACCGGTAGCCGTATTGTCTGCAGCCGCTAAGGTATTCGAGTCGATTATTTATAAATATGTTTATAATCAAGTGTACCCGCAGCTTACCGAAGCTCAGCATGGTTTTCGGTCAGGTCGAAGTACGGGGAGTAATTTAATGTCTTTTATGAATTATGTGGTGCCAGTAGTAGATGCTGGGAGCCAGGTTGACACCGCATATTTTGATTTTCAAAAAGCCTTTGATACCGTTAATAACGATATTTTGTTGGTAAAGTTTGCCGAGTTAGGTTTTACACCTAGCTTACTAAATTTTTTTGCAAATTATCTTAGTGGACGCAGACAATACGTGGATTTTGGAGGTTTTGAGTCGCAACCGTACTGTATTTATTCTGGAGTGAGTCAAGGGAGCAATCTCGGTCCTTTATCATTTATGTTAATGGTTAATGATCTTCCTACGGTCATTGAGGAGGCACAGTGTTTGCTATTTGCCGACGATCTTAAAATTTATTTGAAAGTAAGCAATACTTCTGACTGTCAAAGTTTGCAAAGAGACATTGACAGAGTGGCACGGTGGGGTATAGAAAACAAATTGAGCTTAAATGTGAATAAATGTTGTGTCATGAGTTATGGTCGTGCAAAAGCCCCTCATAATTATGCTTACCAAATGAACGGCCTCGTAATCCCTCGAGTTACACACATTAGAGACTTAGGCGTCGAAATGGTCCCGGAACTTAATTTTCGTAATCACATTTTAAATATTTGTAAAAAAGCTTTTAGGAATCTCGGCTTTATCTTAAGGCAGTGCAGGGATTTCCGTAATGTAGTTACTATTAGAATTTTATATAATGCTCTCGTAAGAAGTCAACTTGAAACGAACGCCATTATTTGGAATCCACATGAAAGCAAATATAGTGTCATGATCGAAAAACTTCAAAATAAATTTACACGATTTTTATATTTCAAACAGTACGGAGTCTATCCTAGTTTTCCACTCATGTATCCGAGTCTATTTGTACTGGGTATGGTCGGTTACAGCCGCCTGAGTGTGAGGAGAGACATCGCGCTTATTAAATATGTGTGGAACGTATTACGTGGATGGATACATCACCCAGAAGTGCTCGCTGCGCTAAAGCTACGTGTACCTGATAATTACATGTGTTCTCGTCGCCGCGCCCCGTTACTCTTCGTGCCCACTGCTAGGACGAAGTTGCTTCAGAATGCACCATTGACACGTGCCATACACTACGTTAATATCATCTCACAGGATATTGACATATTTACATGTAGTCAGACGAAGTTCACAATTGCAGCATACAAATGCGTTGAAAATTGTAATTTTTTTTAATTAGTATTTTATTTTATAATCATGTTAATATTATTATTCATTATTTTATAGTCATTATTAATTAGTAATTAGTTTTCTTATATTTAGGTTAGTTATAGCATCGCATTGGTTAATATAACTGTAATGATGTTATAATTATGAAATAAATAAATAAATAAAAATAAATAAATATTTGATCATAAAAAAGGAAACGTAACTTTATGTCGTATTGTAGTGCAGAAAGCCTGAATTGATTTTGATTCTCAAACTAGACCGCTCCAGGCCTAGGACTCGCGGGCCTAAGTTTAAATCTACAAATGGAAATAAAACAAATGCTTTTCATGTTATCCATTTTATTAAATAGTAAATATTTACCTATAGGTATTTACAATATTACAAAACTTGAAAATCTTAACAACTTTTCTCCCTTGCCTTACACATCTTATAATATCAATACAAAATATATCGAGAAAGCCATAATTGGCGAAATGCTACCAAATTTTGTTAGTATAGAATACATCATAAACGTCTCGCGTTCTTAAAAGCACTAGTTTTATGTAATACAAAATGGCGACATCTCCTGAGCAACTTTAGAAACATTCTGTACAATTATAACCAACTATTCACAAGTCCACAAGGACGTAATACAATAGCTAAACTGTAGAAGGCGCTAAAGCGCCAAAGGCAAAAGTGGCTACCGGCCACGGCCAATATACAAGACCATGTGGTCATGTTAACTATCCGCATAATTCTCTTTCGAAGAATTCACTTCTCAGGCAACTTGACGACTGGAACCTGGGAGTAACCCCAGTTACTCTCACAGTACTCAATCAGGTTCCTCTCGGTGTCAGAGAGAATGGACAAGTTGATTTCTTGACTGTCACTAAATGGATCGGTGTAGGGGTAGTGGACTAAGATGCAGCTGAAGTCCATAGACCTTGCGGTACAACTGAGTAGCTTCTTTAATTTGAGCTCTGAATCCACCTGTAACAAAAGACATTACAATAATTATAGTAATTTATACTGCATTTTAGTGATTTATACAAAATTAAAATATTTAATATCAAAATTCATAGCTTAAGTCATCATCATCATCATCATCATTACAACAGGTCCACTGCTGAACATAGGCATCCGTTATCAGATCATGTTTTATCTATAACCTTTCTTCCCCATCAGTTGTCGGTTCTTCGAGCTATATAGCCGGCTCATTGCCACTTAACCCTGCTGATTTGGGCAAAGTTACTTACTCTTGATCTTGTCCGTCTGCTTCATTTAAGTGGAGAATTTTATAAGTACAATTTTACAAGTTTCTTTGAGCCATAAAAATTATCAACAAATGTTTATACGAGTATTAAACGTATTTTCCTCATTGGAGTGATGCTTTTCCTCAGAACATGTGTATTCTAGTTAACACTGTGAAACTCACCTTTATATTATATATGTCGTTTTCTACGCAGAATGCTTGCAGTAAAACTTCTTGCATATGGGTGGCGCTGTCACCAGGTGGCGCCTCTGTAGTTATGCAGAATAGTGCCCCATTGCAGTTAGTTGACAAGTATTGAATGGCTGGCAGAAGGCCGACGGTAAGTCTTTTTTCCACGCAAGCCCTTCGTAGTACTGTTTTGATACACTGGCTGATTGAGCTAAAGGAAAAGAAGAAAAAAACATTAAAAAAGGAACAAAAAATACTCCCCGGCGGGGAATCGAACCCCGGTCTCCCGCGTGACAGGCGGGGATACTGACCACTATACTACCGAGGATGTTGAATGAGTTTCTCAAAAAGAGGTACATAACTTAAGATTAGAAAATTTTTATTTGTTATATTTATAAAATATTCAAATAAATTTAAATTGACTTCTTTTTCAAACAAGTCTAAAGTAAACGATTTTAACATTTCAAAACAATTTCACTAGGAATGATGCAACATTACAAATATTCTTTAATTTCACTGTAAGTATATTATTATTATTATTAAATTGAACAGTTTCTAATTACCTCTTAGCAGCCATTCCACTGAAGGACTCAATTTTAACGGGAACCACTTCGTCGTACATTTTCTTTTGAAAGTTTATACTCTTCAAATTTTGAAATTCACTAATTTTTGACACAGTACAGTGGTAGCCCGGAATTGTCACGGACACTTCACAACACAACAGTAATTATTATCCACTTTTCACTTGTTATCAGATGCTTGAACGACTACGAAATCGTAACTATGTCACAATATTTTCACAACTTTGCGCACAAATTTGGCATATACACACTTCCAATGTTGAGAGGAAAGTGAGGACATGTGACGCAGTCAACATTTATATACAGTGTACAACACGCGCATTTTATCAATGTGTGCGTGGCGCTTGGCCAGTATCGATGGAGATTCTTCGAAATTCTCACGCGGATTGTGTTTGTGAATACGTCCAATCGACGATATTCTGTGTTGTGTGTGTGTGAAACATTTCTCTGGTTGATTCAAGTTCGTTCACTGCAGTCAGTAAGTTTTCCAGTTTGAATAGACCTCCCTGCACCCTTCGTTTTAAACAAACGGGGTGTCAAAAGAGTGGTTCTACGTTTGCAGACCGTCCGTACGTGAAGGTTATATCGAAGCTTGCTCGTGTGCGTGTGTTTTCCGTTTACGCTTGGAATTCCCGCGTGCTTGGGTTTTATTTGATAGGGAAACAGTTGGACGCACGTTGTTTCCAAATTGGGCCGTCCGTTCGGATATTGCAATCTGTTGTGTCTCCGTCCGGGTTTATTTTAATGAGATACGATAATGCGTTAACACAACATAATATTATGAAAGCGACAACCCAGTTAGATCTTTTATTTATTTATTTATTTATTTGGTTATACGTGGTAGAGCCATGTCGCAGCTATATTATGGTTGTAGGATTAACAGATCAACTGGAACGAGATAGGAGATAGGACCACTCACTTAGCGTAAATTAGCGGCTTAGTGCTGCTGCGTTTCGTATTATAAATGTAGAGAACCAGTGAACCTTTTTACTGGAAACAAAGCATACCATCTCAGTCCTCAGGGGTGACAACACATCTGCATTTTGATTTAGATGTAGATATCTATGGGCCAAAAGCATTCATCAGTTGGACTGTGCTCGTTTGTCACCCTTACGGCCAAATACTCAAACTTTACTCAATCTTAAGATGTCGATAAGTCTCGTGGTGTCACAGTCACTTTGATCTTTGAAAATTGTGCAGCGTTCAAGTATTTGGGCATGATTCTATAAAAATAAAACTGCCATGGTTTTAAGGTGGATTAGGAAAATATGGTATCTAGGCGTACTACTCTATTCTTATGGTATTAAAAGACTCTACATTTACTTTATTTAGTCCATAATCATCTTAACACTTCTGCAAACTATATTATTGAAATTTATTTTACTAAAGTTGACGCAGATAAGAAGAACTATCCCAATTTAACCGACTTCAAAAAATGGAGGAGGTATTCAATTCGACTCTATTTTTTATGTGTTACCTCAGAACTTTTATTTAGGTGAACCGATTTTAATAATTCTTTTTTTTATTTGAAAGCTGGTCCAATATAAATTTGATCAAGATCTGACCAGTAGTTTTTGAGTAATCCTTCATAATGCATATTTAATTGACTTTGACTACAGTGATGATGTTTTCATTTTATTTATATTGAAGTTGGTTGTACAACATTTTTAATTTTACCGCTTGTTTACTTTCAACTTACAAAAAATCTATAAGAAAGCTCGAGTTCTTTTAGCCTACCTTTAATTTAATTCATGTAGAGATCGTCTAATTTAAAACTGTACACGCCTTGTATTTTTGTAAGATATTGTATTTGTTACATTTAACATACCTATTAAACATTATAAATTCTAAACATGCGCACTATTTCTTATAGTAAATTAATATTATTTAAAAATTACGCGCGTAAATTTTATAATGAAATGACAAAATTTACGCGCGTAATTTAGTAAGTAAAGTAAAGTAGACTATACCACAGAATAAATAATATTACTACGTCTATTCGTATTTTCTAAATTAGATACCTTCAAGTGGTTATAGTATTGTCACAGTTTAAAGTTAGGCTATCTTCAAACTGTGGTATTGCCTTATAGGTACTACGTTTGTTTGTAACTAAAAGAAATGTTTATAAATTACTGCGGAGAATAATCTGGAAGTAAGCTACATATTATGTAAGCTTTTGTATTATATTCTCATATACGCTTAAATTATATGCATTTAAAGAAAGAGCTTATTAGAAATTAGAAATTTATTACGAATTAGATATTTACAAACGATGTCAGAGACGCGAGTCTACTCTTTAGATGCATCCAGGCATGTCTTTTTGTCTCTAGATGCATCTAGACCGTTTAAGGAATTTAATTTGTACAAGCAGCGAGTACCTACTAGGGACACACGAATATAAATAAAGCGGGAACGCGCGTGTAGTTTTAAATTACACGATCTCTACCTATTCGTTTTTAGGATATACGACTATATAGGATTTTCTCCTGTATCGTGGAGGCAGTTTACATATTTAAATTTCAGTAGGACAAACACCTATAGGTGGTTATAGTATAGTCATAGTCATATTAAATTGTAAGTAAAAAAAGTAAAGATATAATTTACTACAAAAAAGTAAATAAATAATTGTATGTATGTAAGCTTTTCTATAGTCCCAAATACGGTTAAAAATAGGCATTTATGGAAATAACGTTTAGAAATTTGAAATCAATGTTAGAAGCGAGTGGTCTCTCTAGATACATCCAGGGATCAAAGTTTTGTTTCTAGATGCATCCCAGACCTTTCATACTCAAGAATCAATACTACGTGTAAGCAACGAGTAATACGCAGAATTTGTGGCGCAGTTACCAAATGGTTGCAATGACAATTGCTAGAAGCATCTAGTGAATTCTGAAATAAGGGATAACAATAAAAAATTATAGAGGTTAAATGTAAAAAAATGTGAGAATAGTCGTGTGGTGTTTAGAGAAAATTTTATTGGATGACTTCATCATCATCAGCCATCTGTATTCATAGACTTGACTCTGAGACTAGATTGTCAATATTGATGAGGGCTGCTCTACACTTGGCTTACCGGTACGAGACCGTCGCTCGGAAAAATTTTTCCCCATCGGTTGCCTGTATGACTGGCGCATTGCGACTTCAGCTCACCGATTTGTTGGATAATTCTAATGCTTCGTTACCGGTAATAAGGGTCTTCGTTTATATAGTTATAATATTATATATATATATATATATATATATATATATATATATATATATATATATATATATATATATATATATATATATATATATATGTATATATAGTACCGGTAACAAAAGCCAAACAGCAATGTTATAATATACCTCTTTCTTAATTAAATCTTATATGGCCTATACAAATACACAATATCTAGAATCAACTTTTTTCATTAAACAATACTGAAGTTTTAAAGTAAACTACGCATCGGACAGTTTGCCACGCGTAGCACAGAGTATAATATGATAATACCTAGTATAATAATTGTACGTATACAGTTCATAGTGATACAGTTGTGTAACATATCAGTGCCCTGGCGTGGCGGTACAATGATCTGTAATCATGCGGATATCAACAGGTTGCAATTTATCATATGTTTATTTATTTTTCTTAGTGCAAATATCAAGAGGAGTTTGTTCTTTTTTCTTTAGCGCTATTTCGCATTCATTGTTATTTTGGACTTTAACAGTGTTTATGCAAATTAATTGTTGAATACACTTTAACTGTTTTAAAACATGGTTTAACACAATTGTTTCTATATTGTTGGATATTTTAGAATAGAATAGAATAGAACCCAATAATTTTTATTGAATATATATATATAGGTGACAAGTTATTCTAATTAAACTTAAATTTTACTATAAAATACGAGTTGTACAAACTACTGTAATAAATTAATTAATGATAACTGGCATTTTTGTCTAAATCTTTAACCCCATCTAAATTGTTTAACACATTCCGAAGATGGCGCTTCTTATATGTATTATCTACATGTTTATAATTGCATTTGTTATCTATGTTCATAATGACTTTTGAATTTTAATTAAGATCCAATATTTCGTAACATTTCTTCGAATTATTTAAGAATTGCATAATCAAGTTATCATGTAGACGTTCTTTAGATATTTTTATTAATAAAGAAAGGAAGAATTAAAAATGTTTCTTCATGGCATAACATACAGTATTATGGCTTCACAAAACAACATAATACGAGCATAACCTTGAAAAAATTGTTCTTCCTCGCACAACTTTATGGAATCGGCCAATAACACCGATTTTTCCGGACCGATACAACTTAGGTACCTTCATGAAAAGAGCATACACTTTCTCAAAAGGTCAGCAACTTATTAAACAATTTATTACAAAACACAAAAAAAAATATAATTTTTTTTTTAATATTATAAGGCTATTATGCTTGACTACTATACCACCTGATGGTAAGTGGTGATCCAGCCGAAGATAGTAAAGCGCACTGACTTGCTCTACAAAAGCCTGTTCACTCTGTATTGCCTTGACCCACATTTTAATCGGATGGAAAGACAGATGCTGGCAAATTATTCCACTCCTTTGCTGTACCTACGCATTATGAACTATGAAACCGTTTGGTTCGAAATTCGAATGCGTGGTATCGTCGACAACAAACGGTGAGCGTTAGATGTACCAATGATGGTGACTGGTGGATGGTAGGCTTTCTAATATGTTTAGTTTCTACCGACTTCAAAAAGGAGGAGGTACTCAATTCGACTGTTTTTTTATGTGTGTTACCTCATAACTTTGTTCTACGTGAACCAATTTCGATGATTCTTTTTAGTTCCGTTTTTTCCTTTTGAGGTACGGAACCCCTATAGGATCACTTTGTTGTCCGTCTGTCTGTCTGTCAACACCCTTTTTCTCAGGAACGCGTGGAGGTATCAAGCTGAAATTCATATCAAAAACTCAAGTCCACTGTCCCTTGGAGCTGTGAAAAAGTCAAACTTCTAAGCCAACGCAATCAAAGGATACAGCCGTTTATGCCGCAAA